GATAACTGATCCAGAAATTGACAAAAGCAAAGGTGTGTGAGACCTACTCACACCTGAGTAAGTGTGGAGTTGGGCATTGTCAAAGGCTCAGAGCTAATTCCCATAGGCTGAAGGCTGAGCCTCCTCTCTTTTTAAAAATTTGTATATATCTATTTGCATTATTGTTCATTTTATAACAATGTTTAGTTCCCCCCCTCCTGTCATCACCATAGTCCCCCACATTCCTCCCTCCTTCTGATCTCTCTCTGTCCCCCTCCCCTACTGGATCTCTCTGGTTTATAATTGTCTGTTTGTTTTTGTATTGTTTTGTTGTGTTCTGTATTATAATAACAATACATGTTTTTTCCTCCTGTTTTATTTGGTTCTCTTAAATTCCTCCTCTAAGTGAAACCATTCAATATTTTTTCCCCTTCTGACTTATTTTACTGAGCATAATCTCTTCCAGCTCCATCCATGTTGCTGCGACTGGCATGAGTTTATCTTTTTTTGATTGCTGAATATTATTCAGCAATATATATATTATTATATATATGTGGTATATATACCACATCTTCTTGATCCAATCATCTACTTTTGGGCATTTGGGTTGTTTCCAGGATTTACCTATTGTAAGTAGTGCTGCGATAAACATAGGAGTGAATGTAACTTTGAATTAATGTTTTTGTGTCTTTTGGGTAGATCCCTAGGAGTGGAATTGCTGGATTGTATGGTAGCTCCATTTTTAGTTGTCTGAGGAATTTCCATACAGCTTTCTATCGTGGTTACACCTGTATGCATTCTCACCAGCAAAGTAGGAGAGTTCCTTTTTTGCTGTATCCTCACCAACATTTGTTGTTAGTTTTTTGATATGTGCTTTAACCTGTTACACCACTAGAGAGGGCCCAGCTTGCAATTTAATTCACCTATGCTGCCTCACTATTTCAAGGTAAAAATATCTCTGACCACAGGGGGATCATCAGCAGCTGAGCAAGGCGTGATTGAGCAAGGCAGAGAGAAGACAGCAAAAAGGAGGAGGGCTCTCCCTGCTGGCTCAAAGGGGTTAAAGCACAGCACTATGAAGTTACTGCAGCCACTGCAGCATGAGCTCGATCCCCCGCCAGGAAGGTGACTCCTGTGGCATAGCAGACTTCTGTCTCATCTGCTGCTCCCCTCAGCAGTGTATTTCAGTTAGTCTGCCTGTTCTGTTCCCCATTCTGTCTCTGGTGAATTCTCACCCCAACACTGCTGGTCTGTGCCCCAGTTCTTGTATGCATAAATAAATAAATCTTTAAGAAAAAAAAAAGGAAGGAAACAACCCAATCAAGAAATGGGCAGAAGAACTTAAAAGACACTTATCCAAAGAGGAATTGCAAGTGGCCAACAGGCATATGAAAAAATGTTAAACATCCCTCATAATCAGGCAAATGCAAATCAAAACCACAATGAGACCACCTCACAGTGTATTTTGTCAAGCTGTCTGTTCTGCTCCCCACTCTGTCACTGGTGACTCCTCTCACCCCCTGCACCTCTAGCCTGTACCCCAGTTCTGTATGCATAAATAAATAAATCTTAAAAAAAAAGTTGCAAGCTGGCAGAAAGGAGTTGCAAAATACACTGCCTGAACAGATGCCAAAGTGGTCCTCAAAGCAGTCATCTCATTGAAGCCTGCAAGGGCCAAAGTGGTCTTCAAAGCATAATCATCTCATTGAAGCACTCCCATGCTTAGAAACCTCACAAGCTGACTGAAAATAAAGTTTTTTTCTTTCTTGTCTGATTCACCTACACTTAGTGCTTTCTGGTGATTCTTTCCCTAGAGGCAAAGGACCTACTCTTTTGGGTTGGGGCCTATAATAGTAGGAGTAAAATAATTTAATCCTTTTTAGGATTTTTTAAAAAAGATTTATTTATTTATGCATACAGAACTGAGGTACAGGCCAGAGATGCAGGGGTGGTGAGAGGATTCACCAGAAACAGAGAAACAGAGAACAGAACAGGCAGACTGAAGTACACTGCTGAGGGGAGCAGCAGGCGGGCCAGGAGAGGTCTGCCACGCCATGGGGGCACCTCCCGCTGCGCCACCAGGGAGGGCCCAATAAGTAAAGTATTTTTTAAAATAATAAATAGAAGACCTAAAAGAAAAAGGGAACCAGAGACCTTGAGGCCAGACTTGTTAACCTGGAGCTGAGGGCACATGGCTTCCATGAGATGTTCCCCCTGAACATGGTCACAATCCCTGCATGACCTCCAAACTGCAGCTGATGGTGCCCAAAATCAGGAATAATGATAGATTTTAGCCAAGTCTATTTTCCTTGCTTCCTCAGCCAATAATGTTTAACTTCTTTGTTCTCAAACCCCATCCCTAAAACCTGCGTGGTCCCCTAGTCCCAGCACCTTGGGAAGTCTCTTTCATGCCCAGGGAGGTCTCTCCGGCGCTCTCCTTCCTGGCTCTTCTGCTAATCAACAAACCCTAATGCCTCACCTGCCCTCACCAGTACTGTGGAGTCCTTTTTTTAGTCTTGACCAGAGTATCTCAAGAGCCCTTTCCTGGGCTTGAGAATGGGGCCCCTTAGTCCATCCCTGATTTCCAGCTAGCAAAGGACAGCGCTAGTTCCCTCCCAGCTTATCTGCCTGTGTGGTTGGAGCGTGGGAATAGACTGAGCGGGTCCCCATGTCTATTAGTGCCCACCACATTTTTTATTTTTAAAAAAATTGTGGTAAAATATATGTACCGGCCCTCCCTGGTGGCGCAGCGGGTTAAAGCACAGCACTGAGAAGCTAAAGCCGCTTCCGCATGAGTTCGATTCCCGCCTGCCCCGGAGGTGACCA